AAACTTATCTAAGGAGACAAAGGACCTGTATTCAGAAAACTATAAGATACTGATGAAAGAAATTAAAGACAATACAAACAGATGGAGAGATATACATGTTCCTGGATTGGAAGAATCAACATTGTGAAAATGACTATACTACCCAAAGCAGTCTACAGATTCAATGCAATCCCTATCAAACTACCAATGGCATTTTTCACAGAACTAGAACAGAAAATTTCACAATTTGTATGGAAACACAAAAGACCGCGAATAGCCAAAGCAATCTTGAGAAAGAAAAATGGAGCTGGAAGAATCAGGCTCCCTGACTTCAGACTATACTACAAAGCTACAGTAATCAAGATAGTATGGTACTGGCACAAAAACAGAAATATAGATCAATGGAACAGGATAGAAAGCCCAGAGATAAACCCACACACGTATGGTCACCTTATTTTTGATAAAGGAGGCAAGAACATACAGTGGAGAAAAGACAGCCTCTTCAATAAGTGGTGCTGGGAAAACTGGACAGCTACATGTAAAAGAATGAAATTAGAACACTCCCTAACATCATACACAAAAATAAACTCAAAATGGATTAAAGACCTAAATGTAAGGCCAGACACTATAAAACTCTTAGAGGAAAACATAAGCAGAACACTCTGACATAAATCACAGCAAGATCCTTTTTGACCCACCTCCTAGAGAAATGGAAATAAAAACACAAATAAACAAATGGGACCTAATGAAACTTCAAAGCTTTTGCACAGCAAAGGAAACCATAAACAAGATGAAAAGATAGCCCTCAGGATGGGAGAAAATATTTGCCTATATTTTGAAGCAACCGACAAAGGACTAATCTCCAAAATTTAAAAACAGCCCATGCAGCTCAATATCAAAAAAAACAAACAACCCAATCCAAAAATGAGCAGAAGACCTAAATAGACATTTCTCCAAAGAAGGTATACAGACTGCCAACAAACACATGAAAGAATACTCAGCATCACTAATCATTAGAGAAATGCAGATCAAAAGTACAATGAGGTATCATCTCACACCAGTCAGAATGGCCATCATCAAAAAATCTACAAACAATAAATGCTGGAGAGGGTGTGGAGAAAAGGGAACACTCTTGCATTGTTGTTGGGAACGTAAATTGATACAGCCACTATGGAGAACAGTATGGAGCTTCCTTAAAGTACTAAAAATAGAACTACCATATGAGACAGGCATCCCACTACTGGGCATATACCCTGAGAACACGATAATTCAAAAAGAGTCATGTACCACAATGTTCATTGCAGCTTTATTTACAATAGCCAAGATGTGGAAGCAACCTAAGTGTCCATCAACAGATGAATGGATAAAGAAGATGTGGCACATATAACAGTGGAATATTACTCAGCCATAAAACGAAATGAAATTGAGTTATTTGTAGTGAGGTGGATGGACTAGAGTTTGTCATACAGAGTGAAGTAAGTCAGAAAGAGAAAAACAAATACTGTATGCTAACACATATACATGGAATCTAAAAAAAAAAAAATGGTTATGAAGAACCTAGGGGCAGGACAGGAATAAAGATGCAGACATAGAGAATGGACTTGAGGACACGGAGTGGGGGAAGGGTAAGCTGGGACGAAGTGAGAGAGTGGCATGGGCATATATACACTACCGAATGTAAAATAGATAGCTAGTGGGAAGCAGCCGCATAGCACAGTGAGATCAGCTCGGTGCTTTGTGACCGCCTGGAGGGGTGGGATAGGGAGGGTGGGAGGGAGATGCAAGAGGGAGGAGATATGGGGAAATATGTGTGTATGTATAGCTATTTCACTTTGTTATAAAGCAGAAACTAACACACCATTGTAAAGCAATTATACTCTAATAAAGATGTTTAAAAAAGAAGATTAAAGGTGGTAAAGACAATATAAAATTAAACATTTTAATACTAAAATAAAAAAAGTGGCAGCCCCGAGTGGGACCCAGGCTTTGTGACTTTAGGGACCACACAAGTAACCTCTAAGGTCTCTAAAGGCAGCTGTATCACTGACCAAAGGACAAAAGCTGCTTGAGTTCAGCGCAGCAGTGGCCCTCTGGCGAGGAGGGGCATGTGTGCATGCAGCTGTGGATGGAAGATGTGTCAGAGGTCCTGGATGCGGAGAGGGAGAGTCTTGAGCCAGAGTCGGGGTTAGGTTTCTGGGCATATTCTGGAAATCCAGAGAAGAGCCCATTTTCTTAGAGTTGGGAGAATTTCGTTCAATTCCAGGCGGACTGTGTTGTACCAGGGCCCATGGTGACTTGATATAAGAGGCAGGAATGATTGAATGGCTGATCTAATGCCACATCACTAGACACATCTCTCTGTGAGCACATCCCTGGGACAATGAAGAATTTTTTAAAGTTTTGCATCACCCAGACAAAATCACAACTTCAAAACAAACAAAACAGAAGCATGAGAATGAGAGGAAGCAGGGGAGAGCTTTGATATTAATAGATTTTCAAACTGTTGGAGCGTCAGGTATTAGATCCCATCAGACATGGAACATTATTCAACTAAATAAAAGGGAATGTTCCCTCTAGTTTTCTGGAACTGGGAGATGGATCTTCTCTCAGTCCTGAGGCTGCAGTTTTGTGTCTCTAATGAGGTGTAAGAATAGATGTGGTGCATTTGCTTAGCGGCTGCTACAGTTATCACTTTGGGGCTTGTTTACTCACTAAGTGCTTTACCGCAAATGGCAGATTTGTAAGGGACTCCTGCCCTTTGGAGTTCTTACTGTGTCCACAGATCAATGGAAATCCTGGGTATCCAGAGCCCCCAGCAGTGTCATCAGGGCTCTTCTGGCTCTCCTGTGTCTATCCAGGACAGGGTACATTGGTTTCTTACCTTTTCCATTTGTTGACTTCTCCGGTAAAGGATTTTTTGACCATCAGAAAGATCTGAAGGTCCCCGTGAGCCAACCTCTGGGTTCTCTGCAGGGGACAGACCAAAGGCTGGTCATCCCAGGGTTCTCAGTGGTACCAACTGAATCGTGAGATCCTATTGGTTTGAACGAGGCTTCAAGGCTGATTTTTAGGAGGAACTTTATGAGAAGCAGATCAGGAAGGATCCAGATGAAGAATCCAGGAAGGAATTTGGATAAAAGGCCAAATGTAATTTGAAAATTGCATCTTTGCTTTTACCTATACAGTTCGAATTACTTTAGACCAGTGGTTCTCAAACTTGAGTATGTATAGGAATCACCTGGAGGGCTGTTAAAACTCTTGCTGGGCCCGCCCTCAGAGTTTTTAATTCCTTAGGTCCAAGGAAGGCATTAACATTTGCATTTTCAACAAGTTCCGTGGTGATTCTGATGTGGCCCCTGATCCAGGGGCCACACCTTGAGAACCAGTACATTAGACCATCTGACTCTTAGAGCTTAAGTGGATCTCAGAGTTATTCTGTGTTAGTCTCTTAGTTTTACTGGTAATGAGACTAAGTCTAGAGAGATTGCTTTGCCAGTGACAAACAGCAGGTTAATGTCAGGTGGGGGACGAAATCCTAGTCACCAAATCCTTCCTGCTCTATTGCATTGCCCCTCCTATTTTGAGTCTTCTTGTGTTGTGTTTCCATGGATGTGCATCTTGATTGTTCTGATCTAGGCTGTAAACTCAAGAGAACACTTGCTATTTGCTTTAGTGCAGGCATACCTCTTTTTATTGTGCTTCACAGACACTGTGGGGCTTTTTGTTTTTGTTTTTTCTACAAACTGAAGGTTTGCAGCAGCCCTGCATTGTCAGATGATGGTTAGCATTTTTTAGCAATAACGTATTTTTAAATTAAGGTATGTACCTTGTTTTTTAGACATAATGCTATTGCACATACAGTGGACTACAGTATAGCATAAACATCACTTTTATGTGTACCGGGAAACAAAAACATTCCTGTGACTTGCTTTATCTGGTATTTGCTTCATCGTGGTGGTGTGCAACTGAACCCACGCTATTTCTGAGGTGTGCCTGTAAAGTCGAAGAGGTAACACACCTGGTTTTAGAGTCGTACTGACCAGGCTGTGAATCCTGGCTTTGCTACTCTGTAGCTGGGTGACCCTGGGCAAGTTATTCAACTTCTCCAAGATTCAGTTTCTCATCTGAAACATGAGACTAATTGTGGTAGGCCGAATAATGACCCCCAAAGGTGTTCACATCCTAATCTCGGGAACATGTGAATGGGTTATGTTACGTGGCAAGGAGGAATCAAGGTTGCTAACCTGCTGAATTTAAGTTCAATTTAAGAGATTATTCTGGATTATCTGGGTGGGACCCAATGTAATCACAAGGGTCCTTCAAATGTGGAAGAAGGAGGCAGAAGAGTTGGTGTCGCAAAGAAGACACATGATCAGACATTGCTGGTTTTGAGGTTGGAAGGGTCCACAAGCCAAGGAATGCAGGCGATCTCTAGAAGCTGGGAAAAGCAAGGAAACAGAACGATGCATCTCCAGAAGGAATGCAGCCATGTGGACACCTTCATTTTGGCCCAATGAGACCGATCTCAGACTTCCGACCTCCAGATAATCAGTTTGTCTTGTGTTAAGCCACTGAGCTTGTGGCTAGTTGTCCCAGCAGCGCCAGGAAACGCATGCAGTCACCATGTGTGCTCACAGGATTGCCTGAGTTTAAAGGAGACCAAGGGTGTAAGACACCAGCACGGGAGTGAGGACTGAGCCCTGCACAAAGCCATTGCTCCAGCAACCTGCTGTCCGCAGCACTCACTTTTCAATTCCAAGAAGCGCTTTGGCGTAACCGGGAACAGGAATCCTGCCAAGGTGAATCCATCATGAAAGTGGGTCTCCGATCGGCTTCACCGAGGAAGGGAGTGGATGGATTCCGAACACGTGTCCGCTTTACACACACCACTGTCTGTTTCTGACGTCTTATCAGGTAAAGGTCAGTGGAATTATGAATGGGGTTTGTGCTGTGCGCAGCAGTGATTATTAATTCGGGGTTTCAGGTAATTTTCAGACTGCGCTGCAGTAACGTGTCTTCTGATGTTTCCCCTTGTGTATTTATCCTACAGCCAGAACTGTGTCGATGCGTACCCCACCTTTCTTGTCATGCTCTGGAGCGCCGGGCTCCTCTGCAGCCAAGGTAACCCAGGCTTCTCCTTGTGTGTTCTCTTTCTGAAACGTGATGCATCACTAGGAGCTTCGAGTGCAGGCTTTTTGTTGAAAAGGCTTTGCCTGCCCTCCAGCTCCAATCCGTGAAGCCCTGGAGAGGCGAGACCCTCCGGAGGCTGTGTTTCAGCGGGCGGGGTGCCCGCGCGGAGCCCTGCGGTAATGCATCGCTAATGCTGGCCCCCTGGTGGCTGGTGGAGAGCGGCTGCGCTGACAAGGGTGGTTTAAGGCTAACTGTGACTCAGAATCCGTAAGCAGTGTTAGCTCAGATGCAAGGGCATTCTAACTGAGGGCGCCCGAGGGGTCTATTCTGGGCCAGCCGTCACTTGGCTGTTGTCCTGCTAATCGGCTTCTGCATGGTGGGCCATCTTCGGTCCAGGTCTCCAGCCTCCCCGGTTCTTAGCGGCCCACGGTCTCAACTTCAGCAAGTTGACACCCAGAGTTGATTTAAAATTAAATGGAAACCCGAGTGGTGGTTTTTTTTTTGGGGGGGGGGGCGTGCCACGCGGCACGTGGGCTCTAGTTCCCAGACCAGGGAACTGGGAACCCCTTCATTGGAAGCACAGAGTCTTAACCACTGGACCGCCAGGGAATTCCCTGTGTGGTATTTTTGGCCCCCTTTGGAGACTGGCACTGTGTCTGGTGAAGGCTCGGCATGACCTGGCCGGCTTCCATGCTGTGGCCCAGCGGTGCATGAGAAAAGGCCCCCAGTGTCCTCTGATAAATGATTTCATCCTTATTGCCTTCACTCATTCTATAAAGTAGGTAAAGTGGATATTATTTCCCCCTGTTACCTTTGAGGACCCTTTGGTTCAGGGACATAAAGTGACTTTTTCAAGGTTGCTCAGCTGGTGAATAACAGAGCCAGGATGGGAGCCCAGGTCTTTCTGGCTAAATCCTGGATATTTCACAAGCATCCTCTTACTTTATTTATTTCCATAAAAATATACATTGAACACCTACTATGTGCCAAGCCCTGTCCCTGGATACACAGGGATAAATAAAACAGAGATGGTGGTGAAGCACACAGCAGTTGGCGAGATGGACCATAGAAAATAAATGAATGGATAAATTTTTGCCAAGAGTTAGACATGCCACGAAGGAAAAGAATAAGGTGCAGTGAGAGAGAAGAGAGGTGAGGGATGGTAGCAGAAACCACTTCAGGAATATCATGTGCGCTGTAAGGCTGTCAGTAAGCTCACTCTTTATTTCCCACTTTCTGTCCTCAGTTAAATAAGAAACATGTCTGGCATCACTTGAAAAATCAAGTCAAACTACACTTAGAGTAGGAGTGATGCTTCCTTTTATGTCTTAGACGATACTTGATACAGGTGAATCTGGAGTTGTTCTGGTTAGTTAAATACAAAGGGAGTTGGAAGGGGTTTCAGGGTGCTGGAAATATGCATTTTCTGCCAAAACAAGTGTTGGCATTGCTGGGAGACAGGAGTGTCAGTCACCCCTGTTCAATAATCATCACTTCCTATGAATATGGTAGATTGTAGAATTTTTTTAGGTGAAAGGAGCCCCAGCCCAAACCCATCACTTTACAGAGCAGGAACCCAAACCCCAGGGGAACTTGCTCAAACCTGAGAATATTAGACCCTGGATTTGAATCCACGACACCTCTCCTGGTGTTCCAAGCAGCCCAGGTCTACACCAGAGGTGGGCGCCATTCCCTGCATATGGGGAGTTCAGCCACTTTGCACCCTGATTTCTTTTAGGTTATGTTCACCTTAGCTCCCAGTGAAAGAGACATGGGCCAGTAAGTTAGAGCAGAGCCACCCGGAAGGGACCAGCCAGGAAAGACTTTGTCCAAGGCAAATTGTGAATTGTGACAATTCTGTGACCTTCAGAGAAGAGAGGATCGGAGGCCAGAGTACCCGGTATGCCTCTGGCAGTACGTGACACATAAAAAGTGCTCGGTTAATGCACTTAATTTGGTATTTGAATAACGCTGGGGGCGTTTCACAGAGCTTTGACACCCATACTTCTGTTTCACCTGCATATTAATTCCTGATAGGTAGGAAAGCTGTAATCAGCCCTTTGTCCAGATGTGGAATGAGTTAAGCATTAGCTCCAGATCGTAATAGTCCTGGTGGGGCTGGGTTTCCTAACTCTCAGCTCCAAGTGTTCAGGACTCCATGGGGTTATTTGGCTGGAATGCAAAGGGCATTTCTTTCCCCAGAGATCTTTCCTGAACTGTAGCAATTGTTCAGAAAAGGTTGCACATCGCAATTCCTGGAGGCCCACAGGTGAAGGGCGTACTTTGAAGAGAACCAGCTTCAGAGCAGGGCTCTGGGTTCAAGTCCAGCTCTCCACACACACACACACACACACACACACACACACACACACACATATGCATACACACACTTACGAGCTGACAGTCTTACACAAGCCCCTTGGCCCATGGAGCCCATGTTTCCACATCTGGAAATAGAAAAGATGAGATCAATCATGTGAAAAGGATTCAAATTAGATGAAGGGTTTGAAAAGACTTTGTAAACTACACCGTGATGCCAATACAGGGTAACATGACTATTATTATTATTATTTTTTATGTGAACATAATTTTTTATTTCTCTGAGATAAATGCCCAAGTGTACAGTTGCTGTACCATATGGTAATTCCATGTTTAGTTTTGTAGGAAATTCTTGAAGTCTTTACCAGACTGTAACATTTCACATCCCCACCAGCAATATGTATGCTCATCAGTGTTTGGTGTTATCGTTATTTTTTGTTAGCCATTCTGATAGGTGTGTAGTGATGTCTCATTATAGTTTTAATTTGTGCTTCCTTATAATGTCTAATGAGAGTAATCTTCATGTGCTTTTATTTTTTTGCCATTTGTTCATGTGCTTTTTTTTTGCCATTTGTACATCCCCTTTGCTGAAATATCTTTCATGTCTTTTGTTAAATTTCTAATTAGATTGTTTCGTTTTATTTTTTCTGTTGAGTTTTTTTTTTAAACATCTTTATTGGAGTATAATTGCTTTACAATGCTGTGTTAGTTTCTGCTTTATAACAAAGTGAATCAGCTATACATATACATATATCCCCATGTCCCCTCCCTCTTGTGTCTCCCTCCCACCCTCCCTATCCCAGCCCTCTAGGTGGTCACAGAGCACCGAGCTGGTCTCCCGGTGCTAAGCGGCTGCTTCCCACTAGCTATCTATTTTACATTTGGTAGTGTATATAAGTCCATGCCACTCTCTCACTTAGTCCCAGCTTATCCTTCCCCCTCCCCATGTCCTCAGGTCCATTCTCTATGTCTGCATCTTTATTCCTGTCCTGCCCCTAGGTTCTTCAGAACCATTTTTTTTTTTGATGCCATATATATGCGTTAGCATGCGGTATTTGTTTTTCTGTTTCTGACTTACTTCACAACATGACTATTATTAAAGATCTCAGGTTTCTTCCAGCTGCAGGCTCTTTGCTGAACTTCACATCGGCCCCGACTGGCAGAAGCTGAGGCCTCTGCTCAATTTTGTGACCAACATTGATTGCATAATGACTGTATTAATATTGGGTTAACTTAGCATGCTTTGGTGTCAGCAACATTAACGCAAGGTGTTTTCCTTTCTCCCCTTAGTTCCTGCAGCTTTTGCTGGACTGATGTACCTGGTTGTGAGGCAAAAGTACTTTGTTGGCTACCTGGGGGAGAGAACGCAGAGGTAGGCCACTGGGACTGTTTAAGAACCGTGCAGCGAGTCATACTTTTCCAGCTGGAAGAGTGATCATTCACAACAGTATTCTGTCTACCATTTAAGGCCCTGTGGGACCACTCAGGGTGGGAGGGCGGAGGCCGACTAGGACCCCTCGTCCTTTTCTCCTTGAGCTTTGCTGGTTCTGAAATACAGCTGGGGCCCTTGACTAGTTTTCCCATTTAAAAATTCCTCCACATGGTGCTGGGCTCACAAAGGATGCTTTAACGCATTCTTTGCAACCCCACACCCTCTACTCCCACCCTGCAGTGTCTGGGGCTTGAATGACGGTATCTGTCTGGCTTCCCAAAGCCTCCAGTGAGTGAAACATTTCATTGTTTGCCTAGAGAAACGAGAACTAAAGCTTGCACCTTATGATGAGTTCCCTTGAGTAACAGATCATCCGGGGACCAGCGGAAAGAATGTTGAGAAAGTAAGATGCACTAGCAGGCATCAGACGGAGCCAGTGGATAGAGTCACCACTGTGCTGCTTACAGATGTTGCCCAAAGCGGCAATTGTACTTTCCCTAGACCTGGGTTGGGAAGGCTGGATTTTAGCAAAATAAATGATAATACTTGAAGAAGAAATGTTTGAGTTACAATTTCCACCAGTTCCTGAGCGATCAGAATTGCTGATGGGCTCTGAAGGCCGGGAAGATGCTCTGGGAGCTCCGCCCACACGCTGACCCCAGCCTCCGGCTCCAAGTCTCTCCCTTGTCTGGCTTCACTTCTCTCTGTCTCTCACAATAGCGCCCCCTCTAGTGGATAAGGGACTCTCTGTTCAGAGAGCCTCCTTCAGCGGTGACAAAGGCAGTGCCATCCCAGAAGGTCACCAGGTGAAAGCACTGCTTCTGGGGAACCCGGGGGCCTGCGAAGCTGAGTGATTTCGGGTGGTTGGATGGTCAGCTGCAGCCGCAGAGGAAAGGTGGTGCCCCCGGCAAGTCTTCTCCAAGCTTACCTCCCCCTCATTCCTCTCTAGCGGCGTTTTTGTTTATCCTCTAAAACCACAACTCCATTACCTCTCACATCCTTATCAACGCTGTCTCAGTGATAGTCTTTATTCTTCTTTATCCTGGAAAAACCTCTACTCTGCCTTTCCCCAGAGGTTTACCTGTTGTCCAGAGTCTAAGGGGGCAGAGTAACCATCAATGAAATGAGGGGCTCTGCTCTCCCGGCTTCCTCCCCCAAAGTCCCAGGAATTCAGCCCAGTCACTGGTCTCCTCTTTATCCGTCACCACTTGGCTGAGATCTTAAAGTTGCTTTAATTTTTAAATTTTTTCGGCCATGCTGCGTGGCTTGCGGGATCTTAGTTCCCCGACCAGGGATTGAACCTGGGGCCACGGCAGTGAAAGCACGGAGCCCTAACCACTGGACCACCAGGGAATTCCCTTAAAGTTGCTTTAATTCCAAGACACTCTGTGGGACATGACAAAATATGTCCATTCGGGCTTCCCTGGTGGCGCAGTGGTTGAGAGTCCGCCTGCCGATGCAGGGGACATGGGTTCGTGCCCCGGTCCGGGAGGATCCCACATGCCGCGGAGCGGCTGGGCCCGTGAGCCATGGCCGCTGAGCCTGCGCGTCCGGAGCCTGTGCTCCGCAACGGGAGAGGCCACAGCAGTGAGAGGCCCGTGTGCCACAGAAACAAACAAACAAACAAAAAAATGTCCATTTACCCACAGCCTCTTTTCATTTCAAAGGTAGTCACTACTAGGGAATGAACAAGAATAAACAACAGCATATAGACTTAAAAATGGACACGTCTCTGGACCTCATTGAAAAGAGGCCTGTGCTCTTAAATCCCTCCCTGGTCTCCCCCATTAGGTGGTAGGAAGAACCATTGCCCCTTAGCCCACTGTCTGTGCCAGTGCTGGACCCTTCTCGCCACCCCTGCATATGCATTACTAATCATCATCGTGCTCCTTCCCGCCGAGACCAAGCACGGCCTCACAATACTTTCTCAACACAGTGTTCTGGGCAGTTGTCATCAGCAGAAATGATACACACTAGATGAAGTGTCTGATCCTAATTTAGACCAAAATATAGCAATTTGAAGTTCTCAGCTCAGAGCTGGTTGGGCAAAGATTGGCTGCGACTCGAGGCCTGTGAATTCGGGTTACCCAAGCCCACCTTCTCCTCATTGCCCACGCCCCCCTTGTTCACTCAGCATCATTCAGGACCTTTACTGACCACCTGCTCTGAGCAGGTACTGTGTCAGTTGTGAGGTGATAACAGTAAGCATGACAGAGACCTGGGAACCTCCCAGAGTCAGGGGCACCGCGCAAGACCCCAAATACTGAGCTTAGAGAAATGATAACGGACACAGTTTTCAAAAGCCCATCTCCAAGCTTGAGACTTAAAAATGCAGTGAATGAAGGGCTGGACGGGGGCCCCCACTGTTCACACGTAGCCCTGCACATGATGGTGTGCTGAGTTCTTGTCTGGGAAGAGTTAAAGCACCATAGACCCATCTCCTTAGGGGAGATATGCCTCGAATCCTTAGAAACTTCCTACCCAAATCAAGAACACCACTGTTTCATCAGGAGGTACTCCCGTTTCATCCTTCACCACAGATTTATCTTGAGCAGGTTCTGAAATAGCTTCACAAATCACTTTTCCTTGTTTCTGTAATGAGCATATGGTGGCCTCATTCATGTGATAAATCTGAGTCACTACAATATTTGACTTTTAACAATTTAATTTCTCTGAAGCCTCTATTCTCTGGCTGAAAAATAGACTCCTTTACTTTCTTTTCAATTCCTTATCAGCATTAGCAGGTAATTCTCTGTATTTGTCTTTGAGGACCGCCGTAACAAAGTGCCACAGACTGGGGGGCTTAAACAACAGAAATGCATTTTCTCACAGTTCTGGAGGCTGGAAGTCCAAGACGAAGACGTCAGGGGCGTTGGTTTCCTCTGAGGCCTCTCTCCTTGGCTTGCAGATGGCCGCCTCCTCCCTTTGTCCTCACTGGTCTTCCCTCTGTGCATGTCTGTGTCTTCACCTGTTTTTATAAGAACACCAGTTATGGTGAGTTAGGGTCCACCCCAGTGACCTCATTTGACCTTAATTACCTCTCTTTAAAGACCCTCTTTCTAAATAGTCATTCTGCGGTACTGGGGTTTAGGAACTTCAACACACGAGTGCAGGGGATACAATTCAGCTCATGACACTCTCTATTGAGACCAAACTTTTTTTTCCCCAGCAAAGAGCTAGAATGTGTCACTTCCTGAGCAGGACCGTGAACAGGAAACCAAAGACAGAGGAACACAGCCGGCTAAAAAGGAGCAGGGTGCTGGCAGCTGGCAGTGCCTCCCAGACTTTACTGGGCCCGGGAGTCACAGAGGGAGCTCGTCAGTGGCGCAGATTCTGACCCAGTGGATCTGGGGAGGGACCTGGGATTCTGCACTTCCAACAGGTTGCTGTGCTGCTGGTGCACGGGACACTGTGGGCAGCGAGTACGTTCATGCTCAACCGTGGAATGATTTTCAAATTCTCGACACAGGAATATTAGGAGTTGCATTATGAACCTTTGGGGTCCCTTTTTCAAAGAGATAAAATTTCTAACGTCGAACCTATGGATGCCACATTCTGCTCTCTGATTGTAGCAAACAAAGGCCAAGCAGCATTAAGGCGTCTGTTTAGCTGAGCTGGCTGATCTCGGGGAGCACTCCTGATTGCTACAGGGGCCCCTTGCCGGGGTCTTTACTAACAGCCTTAGAGACTCACTTGGCTGGACTTTCCAAACGTGCCGGTGCTGCACAGGTGGACCAGCCACAGCCGTCATAGGAGGATGCTGCAGGGGAGAGAGGAAGCCAGGGCAGCCCCTATGCACAGCTACGTGGTCACATGTCACTGGGGAGACGCCGTCTGACCCCAGCTGATGCTCTGTCTAAGCGGCTTAGGATTTCGAGCCTCTGAGAGAAGGCGAGGAAAAGTCTCCCTCCCCTGATTCACTTAAGTTGTAAGGGCCTGCCTTCCAGTGCTGGGGGTTGGCTCTCATTAGTGCGAACATGAGTTATTCCCAGGCAGCCTCAGGAGACTAGATCGAGCCCTCAGACGCCAAAGCACCTCTTAGATTCCACCAGCCTTCTTGGCTCATTTAAACCATCCCTCTCACATAGAGACCCTGAAAGTCCTGCATTCTACACATTGGCCAGCACAGCTCCCACAGGCACTCCTGGGGAGGGTCTTAGGCAGCCCACGGGTTCCTAGTCCCCGGTCAGAAGCCCGCTGACCAGCAGAAGCCACCACCCTCATGCCATCCAGGAGCTGGCGTTCCGATGGCACAGAGAAGCCGGAGAGCAGAGCCCTAATGGTGATGGGTTTGAGGCTCTTTTAGCTTGGTTTTGAAATAGATTCAATGACTAATAGTAGCTAAGACACTTGCATCCTTCATATGAAGTAAATGGAGCATTGTTGAGTAAAAGGAGCTGTAATTTAAACCCCATGTACCTCAAAGTGATAACATTTTTTGTTAAATTGGTATCATTGTGCTGTTTCTGCAGTTTTCTCTTTCCTTTTCTTCCAGCACACGTGGCTACATAGTTGGGAAACGCATCATCCTGTTCCTGTTCCTCATGTCCCTGGCTGGGATAGTCAACTATTTCCTCATCCTCCTTTTCGGAAGTGACTTTGAAAACTACATCAAGACAATCGCCACCACCATCTCCCCCCTCCTTCTCATCCCCTAACTGAATTCCGGGTGGCTGTGCTCAGCTAATCAATACCTAGAAGCCATCATAACTCAACCCTTTAAACGATGCTGTAAATCTGATGACCCTCTGGGCTTTGCAGCTTGAGTGAACCTCACTTTTCCTGGAAGAGAATATCTTCATGTCAGCTCCGCCCTGGAACATGATGGTGGCACCAGATTTGCTCTTCAGATCCCGTCTGTGTGTTTCTTACTTATCCTGCTTTCCGAAGATGTTTTGTGACCCGATTTATGTTTTCCAAAAATAAAATGCAGACACATATGCGAGGCTTGTGGTTGAGTTTTACGTGGGTAAATTGCTACAGTTGAATAACTGCTTTGTTTTCCTTGACCTTAATGATGATGATAAAAAATACGCTGTCTTTACACACACACACACACACACACACACACACACACACACACACACACCTGGAAGTTCACCAGTGGTCAAGTGTGATTATCTCTGGGTGAAGAGATTTGGAGTAAGTGTTAATCTCTTATTTATATTTTCATGTATTATTTGAAAATTTTTAAGTGGCAAAAAAATACCACTAAACAAAGAAAGAGACAGGACACAACTGAAGACTGCCTTTTCCAGGTTAGTCTGGTGCTGCCCCTGACCCCCAGCATAGCACCCTGTGCACGTCTCAACCGCAGCAAATCCATATCGCAATGTCAAGGTGTTTTTAGTATGTGCCACTCATCCCCACTAAATCATCAGCTCTTGAATGTCCCTATTTATTTTGCTTTTCCTGTGCCAAGCTTAGAGGCTGGCACATAGCAGGCACCCAATGGCTCAGACTATTTGGGAACTCAAAAAAACGTCCTGTACAGTGATATATTGTAGGGGACAGTAGGCGTGAGTCGTATGAGATTAAGATTTTTTTCTAACAGTTTTAATGAGATAAATAAATTGGGGATAAATGCAAAAACAAACAAACAATCCTTCCTATGGACAAACAGACTTCCTTAAGAATCTTTTGTTTCCTTAAGAATCTTTTGTTGAATGTGTGCCCCCTACCCACACCCCATGAGAACTAGGTTGGTATCTTTACGTGCTAGCATTGTGCCCGGCACTCTTTGTATCATTCAGTTTAAAATGTGCTGTAACTCAGTGTCAGAGCCTAAGATGATGCCAGACCCATCATAGGGGTCCCCAAATATTAGTAGAACAAATGAATAAGTAAGTGCATGAGTCACTGGCTGGTAATACTTAATAAAGTATGTGTGTTGAGCCATTTCCTGTATCAGGTACAGATTTGTAGTGGTCCAACCACTGTCACACCTGCTATCCCTTGACAAAAAGAGCACAATTTGGAAGACAGCAGGGTGTGCTCAGGAGTCTAGGACACCCAATGGAGAGAAGCCAGCTCATCGGGACTGAGCTCTCAGTTGAGGTGACCAGCAGTAGATGAGTTCCCTTTACCCCCAGCCGAGTTGCATCATGGTCACCATCACAGGGAGGATGGGGCTGGACGGGGGCCAACTCTCCCCCCAGCTCTCTCCTGTTGGGAGCAGAGTGGACGGAGACGTGGAGTCTGGCCTCAGTGATGTCTGCATCAATGTGTTGCATGTGTGATGCTCAAGGCAAGCAGGTCTCTCAATTCACAGGAACAGTTCTCACGGGGTCATGGTTTCCTAGCCTGTCTGAGGGTCCAGGCTGAAGACCCCACATCCAGCAGGAGCCAGTTGCCTCAGTGGAGTTGCTTCTGCTCTCAGCTCTCGGGGTGGGAGCAGGACTCAGTATCCTAGCCGGGCCTTTCTTTTCATCTTGGTGACAGGAAAGGTCACGGCAAGCTGCAGGATGCAAGTGGCCCCTGCGCCTACCTCAGCCTCCGTTGGTTCAGAGGGTGGTAGGGTGAGAAATCATCCCAGTTTGCCTGGGACCAAGGGCTTTCCTGGAAGGTGGGGCTTTTGTTTTTAAAACTGGGACAGTCCTGGGAAACCAAGAAGAGTCAGTCACCCTAAGGGTGGGCTAGGCCAGAATATGCCCCGTGGAACCTGGGGACACATTAGCTCCCAGAGGCCAAACTGGTCATGGGGCCTGCAGCGGGCAGGAGAGGAAGCAATGTGGTGGCCCATCAAAGGAGGCTCTGTAGGCCGTGACCTGGGCAGGCCGGGCAGGGCGGAGGCACCAGGGGGATAAGACGCGGGTAGAGCAGCCCTCCTCCACATTGTAAAGAAGGGGCGCTCAGGCGCAGAGCTCCTGCGTGAGGGACCCCGCCCCAATAGGAGGCAGCGGTGCGCAGTGACCAAACTCTCTGCAGAATTCCGGCCTCGGCTGGACCCCTGCTCTGTCACGTCCTCAGTTCTGTGCCGTCTTCCCAAGCCTCAGCTTTTGCATGTGCTAAACTGGGCTAATAACAGTGCCAGCTTTACGGGGTGTTGTGAGGAATAATGAGATAAAGCAATTGAATATGTTTAGCATATAATAAGTGCTGAAGATTATTATTGCTGTATTTATTAGATTCATTATTGCTATCTTACTGCATTCGTCTTCTGTTGCTGCAGAACGAAATCCCACACACTTCGACGTTTAAAGTCAAGTGCATTGACTATCACAGGCCTCGCGCTGCCGGCTCTAACGCAGTGCGCTCCTCCCAGACTGCCCCGGGGCTCCCTCCATCCTTTCATTCAGTGTCTGTGGTCATCACTTCCCAGAGCCCCCAAGACCACCGTGCTGCGCCTGCATAGAAGCCCATCCTTCCTCCGCCTCACCCCGTGTCCTCCTGCTTTCCCGCTTTTCTTGCCTGTACTCATCATCACCAGAAATCAGACCCCTTATTTACCCCTTCCCTGGTTCATTCTTTATCTCCCCCACTGGAATGTAAGCTTCCAAAGGGCAGGGACACTGCCTCTATCGTTTATTGCTCTACCCCAAGCAATAAATACCCCAAAGCAACACCCCTATTGTTTTTTGTTTTTGTTTTTGTTTTTTTCTTTGCGGAGCACAGGCTCCGGACGCACAGGCTCAGCGGCCATGGCTCACGGGCCCAGCTGCTCCGCGGCACGTGGGATCTTCCCGGACCGGGGCACGAACCTGTGTCTCCCGCGTCGGCAGGCGGACTCTCAAACACTGCGCCACCAGGGAAGCCCTCAACTGCCATTTTTGAAGAGCCCGGGGCAAAAGCAGGGTATTGAGCCTTCCCCCTGCACACAACACCACCTAAGGGGTGGGCAAACTCCCTAAGCCACCCTTCCGGCCCGACCCCTGGACACACTTCACTCTCACCCCCTGTAAGAAACAAGCCTGCCCCACCTCCGGAACGAACAAGGAAGGGAACCTGTTGTTTGTTCTCCCTCCCCGCTGCTGCAGCAGGGGCCCTGGTTAAGCCTTGCCTGAATTTCTTGTCTGGCCTCTAGTCAAGTTCTATTGACGGGGGAAGGCGAGGACCCCGGGTCAGGAACAGTGAGGGCTGTGGTGGTGATATCTGAAGGACTATAAGTTGGGACAGGGAGTCTAACGGATGTTCTCAAGTTTTAGTAAGCAAAGCTCTAGCTACGGAGCTGTTAAAAGATGCAAATCCCTCAGTGCCATCCCCAGAGATATGATTTGGTAGGTCATGAACAGGGTCCAGGAATTCACCTTCTTATTCAGATTCTCAGGTTTTTCCTGATGTGAGTTGCAGACTACCTTTTCAGGACCCTTTGCTCTAGAGCTGCACCACCCAATACGATAGCCACACGTGGCTATGGAGCCCTTGAACTTGGCTTGTCGGAATGGAGATGGGCTGTAAATGGAAAATGCACACCGGATTTTGAAGACGTAATATAAAAAATGTAAAATATCCCATTAAGAATGTTTCTATATTGATTACACATCCAAATGATAATCTTGTGGATATGTTGTGTTAAACAAAATGCATTCATTAATTAATTAGAATTAATTGCACCTGTTTCTTTCTACTTTCCTTAATGTGATGACTAGAAAATTTTAAATTCCATGTGCAGCTTGCATTGTATCGATATTTCTATTGGACAGCACCGGTCCAGAAGTTCTGTGGGAGCCAGCAAGGTCTCCTAGCTGAAAAAAATGCTGGACCTCAGGCCAAGCACGTGTCTTTGGATAACGATTCCTTGCAGATGATATTGAAAAATTACCACAAGAAGCAAACAGGTCCTGTCTAAACCTGGAAGAGTTCTTTGAAGCTTGTTACCCATATGATCATGAGAGTGTTTCATTAAGTACTTCTGATCACAGATGTGGCACATTATTAAAATATCATTTTTCTGGTCACCCTAGAGGCTAGGGTTATCTGAATATGGAGAGAGAAACAGCTTGTGGAGCTGTTGTATAAATGAAATTACTAGAAAGCACTGCACTCAATTGCATATTGGCTCAGGGGCTTATTCTTATTAAAATGTTTAGATAGCAGTTTCTGTTCATTTCTGCAGAATTGCTCTCCAAATTAAAAATTCCGCTTGGCACACAAATAGACCAGAGTCCCAGGAGAAGTTTATCCTCCTTTCTTCTTGTTACCCTGGCCTATGCACTTAGATGCTGTGCTGATAGGTAGTACAGATTGTAACCAGCATATGTATTAAAATTTCCTGCAGCTCTGCAAATTGGCACACTCCTGCTTGCCTAAAAGATGTCAGCATAGGCTTCAAGGAAATCAGAAATTCTATCTATAGAAAAGCAACAACTCTGTCTCTCTTTGGATAATTTTTGAAAACAATTTTTAATGGAAATTGGCCTTAATGGTTGAGAAAGTTTGCTGCACAAATGGACATGCTATTAATAGAGTGGAAACCACTGCATAAACATAATGAAACGTAAGCCTTCTCAGAATCCAACGACTAAATATCTGCTCAGCCAGTCAACAAGAGAGCAGAAGAATGAACATTTCGTGCGTGATTACTTGCTTCTGTGCGTATATGTTCGGTTCTCATCGTCAGTGCTATGGCAACTTGACCGTGGCCACAGCACTGTCTGGAAAGATCTATTCTCACCTGGAGCCAGGAGGCCATGCCCACTGGGCACACTGCCTCCCTCCC